CTGCTCCTCATTGGGACTTTGGGAGCTTAGTCCGATGCTCCAGTGTGGGTCTCTGTCTCTATCTCCATCCATCACTAGATGAAGGTTCTATGGTGATATGCAAGATATTCATCAGTATGGCTATAGGATAGGGTCATTTCAGGTTCCCTATCCTCAGCTGCCCAAGGAACTAACTGGGGACATTGCCCTGGGCACCTGAGAGCCACTCTAGGTTCATGTCTCTTACCAACCCTAAGGTGGTTCCCTTAATTAAGTTATGTGATTCCCTGCTCCTCTATCCAAACTTGTTTTATCCCCAATCATCCCGTTTCCCCAAGTTCCCCCTATCCTCCCCTTCTCACTTTTCTCTCCCCATCTACCCTTACCCCCATCCCACCCCACCCCCAAGATCCCAATTTTTTGCCCAGCAATCTTGTCAGTATTTAAAAGCACCTGGGAAGCTTTTCTTAAAAAATGGCCTTTTCTTAGAAGACACAATGTTACTTTGGGTTTTTTGAGTGTCTCTCCTGGAACTCACTATTTGGAGTAGGCTGGCCTCAAACTCCTAGAGAACCACCTGCCTCTGCTTCCTGATTGCTGGGACTAAAGGTATGTGCCACCACACCTGGCTATACTTACTTTTGTAAAAGAGAATTCAGTGAGATTGTTTGAGGACTGACAGGTCTTGACAAATCACTGGAAGACCTTTTGTTTCAAGCTTGATTTGAGAGCCTAGTGTTGTCTTCCATGTCGTCATGAAAAAATGAAGTGTTTATAATGAGGATTTGGGTTTTCACCAGTCTACAGAGAGAAATGCCAGCTTCTTCTCCCTTCTATTTATTATGTATACAGTGTTCTGTCTGCATGTATGCCTGCAGGCCAGAAGAAGGCACTAGATTTCATTACAGATGGTTCTGAGTCACCACGTGGTTGTTGGGAATTGAACTCAGGACCTTTGGAAGAGCAGTCAGTTCTCTTAACCTCTGAGCCATCTCTCCAGCCTGAGAAATACCAGCTTCTATGAAAGAACTACAGCGGTAGAAATGGGAATAAGAGCCAGGTAGTGGTGGCATACGCCTTTCATCCCAGCTCTCAGCAGGCAGAGAGATCTCTGAGTTCAAGGCCAGCCTGGTCTACTACAGGACAGCCTCCAAAGCTACTGAGAAACCCTGTCTTGAAAAACAAAACAAACAAACAAAAACAAAACAAAAGAAATGGGAGTAAGAGATTGGGCAATATGGGTCTTCATGTGATGTGAGAATTGCTTTTGTAAAATAATTCCTTATTGGTTTTCTTTTTTTTAAAATAACTTATTTCGTGTGCATTGGTGTTTTATCTGCATGTATGTCTGTGTGAGGGTGTCAGATACCTTGGAACTGAAGTTACACATAGTTATGAGCTGCCATGTGGGTGCTGGGAATTGAATCCAGGACCTCTGGAGGAACAGTTAGTATTCTTAATCACTGAGCCATCTCTCCAGCTCCATCAATTTTTAATCAGAAGGCAAAACAGGGTAGACTGAAGCCAAGTTTGTGTACCAGAGTCTAGTTAGGGGACTTTGTTGCTTTGAGTTTTATTTTGTTTTGTTTTACTGTAATATAAATGCCTCTGGTTCTGATTTTTCACAGTTCTAGGAAAACTAGGTTCATTTAGCTTTTACCCTCTTCTTGATGTCTGCAGATTCCTCTCTTTCAAATGCTTCAGGAGCAGAAAGTTTAGCTCTCCAGCCACAGAAACTTTTGATCTTGGATGCACGCTCCTATGCAGCAGCTGTGGCAAATCGAGCCAAAGGAGGAGGCTGTGAATGCCCAGGTGAGTGTATGATCGTCCCTTGATAATCTGTCCTTGTAAGTGCAGCTCACTCACAACCTGGACTTAATTTAGGATAAATGACAAGGCACATTCCTCTGCATCTAGAAGCCAGGCATCTCTTTGGATCCTTGACATTCGTGTGCTTTGGACAAAGTGCCAATCATCTTCCTCCTCTGTGCCAACTTTGCGTGATAGGAAAGCTAGTCTCTCTCCAGGTCTGTCAGTGCTGCTTGGAGGCTCTGGTTCTTAGTCTGGTCTCCTGAAAGCACTCTTGTCTCTCACAATACATATGTGAATCACTACTTCCTAGTACACTTGCTGTAGACTTCTTAGAAGAGCAGGGGTAGGGCTGGAGAGGTTGGGAGCACTGGCTGCTCTTCCCGAGGTCCTGAGTTCAATTCCCAGCAACTACATGGTGACTCCACGTGGTGGCTTACAACCATGGCCTGCAGGCATACATGTGGATAGAACACAGCATTCATACTAAATAAATAAATCTTTTAAGAAAGAAAGAGACCGACAGAAAGAGAGAAGCAGGGGTGAAAATTGAGGTAGTAAACACAAAAACCTAATAAGATACCCTTTCTGAATCTGTCATGCCCCTTCTGTCTGAGTGCTGCCATTTTGTTGCTGTTAAATTTGCTCATCTGATCCTTAAATTGAATGTATTTATGCTTTCTTTATTGTTTTTCTCTCCAGAGTATTACCCAAACTGTGAAGTTGTGTTTATGGGAATGGCAAACATCCATTCTATCCGGCGGAGTTTCCAGTCTCTGCGACTGCTGTGTACACAGATGCCGGATCCTGGAAAGTAAGGCCTGGGCTTTGGTCTGTGTGCTTCTTTTGTTGTTACTGCAAAACAACAAAAACAAAAACAAGATTGTAGATATTCTTCAGGTTTTTTTTATTTTATTTATTTTTGTATTTTCTTTCTGTAGTGAACTTTAGTTATACTTTCAGTCTCTGTAGATATGAACCAGGCAGTATAAAACCTGAGCTGTTGGCAAAGCAGTCCAGCTCTTCTGCAGGTTTTTTTTAATTTATTTTTGAACTTAAAACTTCTCTGTGTTGCCTTGGCTGTCCTGGAACTTGCTCAGTGGACTAGACTGGCCTCAAGCTCAGAGATCTGCCTATCTCTGCCTCCCAGGTGCTATTAAAAGCATGTGCCACCACTGCCCAGCCGAATTGAGGTGTCTTAATGTGAAGTCACCATTTTCTGTCTTTCTCTCTCTCTCACACACACACACATACCCTGATTGTATGTTAGAATTTCAAGTCTGGCTGCTTGGCATTGGAGAACTAGTTAGGGACTCCATCTCCATGGAAGACTTTCTCTCTCTGTAAGTATTACCTAGTTAATATTTAGTTCTTTGTCACAGGGCGGAACCCTGTGAGAGTGACCTTTCCAAGTTAGCATTTCTGTTGGTGGTATACTTGTTCAGATCTTATTAAGGCAGCCATATTGTTCAGGTTTCATGAGTGAAAAACTTCTCTATCACTTCTAGGAGACACAGTTTCACAGCAGATTTCCTGGTCCCCTGGCTCTTACAGGCGCTCACTCCCTCTTCTACAGTGTTCCCTGAGCCTTAGGTACAGGAGCTGTGTTGTAGATGTGTCTACCGATTGGCGCTAGGCATTGCACACCCAGTTGTTCTCTGACACACACTCTAGCCAGTTGTGATTTCTGTAGTGGTCTCCACTTATTGCAGAGACGTTTGTTTGATGAAAGGTGACAACTCCACTTATCTGTGAGTAAATGGATAAGTATTACAATTCAATTGGGAATTATACTGGGTTAGTAACATGCCGCTTGTGGATTCTCCTCTAAGGTCCATGCTCTCACTACCCTTCGGTATTTGTTTTCCAGTACCAATCATGATTTCTCTCCTGTTGAGCAGGGTTGGTTACTGCCAAGACATGAGTGTCACTGTTGCACCTTTAGGGATTTCATACCATGCTGGTCATTGTTGTGGTTTATAGGTATCACAGCTGGGTAGGACTGTTGGCAGCCTCCCTCCTTTTCGAAGCTTGCATAGCCCCTTCAGGTATTATGAAAGCTAGTCTAAGGGAGAAGGTTTTCAGGGTCAACTATTTTTTTTTTTAACTTGGATACTAAAGGACTCCAACTCAGATTGTCATATGTGTGTAGCCAACATCTTACTGACTGAACATCTCTCCAGTTTCTCGTTATGTTCTATGTGTTAAACTTGTTAAGTCAGTTTTTTGTTTGGTTTTTTACATGTTAGCTTCCATTTCTAAAGTAATTTGACTCAGTAATAATGTTCTAATTCTATTGCTTATTAAAAATTGATGGTTGGGTGGGATCCTTTTCCTCCTCCAGGGTAAGGGTTGGGGCATGGGTCTGGGGGAGAGGGAAGAGAGAGAAAACTGCTGTCAGGATATAATATATGAGAGAATTAAAAAAAAAAAAGAAAAAGAATAGCTGGAATTTGCAGCGAGGAAGGTAATGTAGTACCCCTGCAAGGGGATTGCTTGAGTATAAGATAAATTAGGAGCAGTACTCTGTAAAACAGATAAATATTTAAAAGCCCCTTCTTTATTATTTCAGGAAGACAGAGATGTGCCAATAAAGATAGGATTTTCTTTTTTAGGTATTTGTGCTAAAGCCCATAGCTGTTTCCTTGGGTCCCCTCAGTAGATCTGCATAGTCACATCTAGTTTGTTTTGCATTCTTAACTGGATTTATAACATCAGGTGCTTCCTGAGACTGCTTGTGCTGACTCTTGGTAAAAGTAATTAAATTGCTGGGTGGTGGTGGAGCACACCTTTAATCCCAGCACTAGGGAGACAGAGGCAAAGGTACCTCTTTGAGTTTGAGGTCAGCCTGGTGTACAGAGTAAGTTCCAGGACAGCCAGGCTACCCAGAGAAACCCAGTCTTGGAAAAAGAAAATGAAAACCAATGAACCAGTCGAAAAAGTGAATAGATTTATCAGTCAGCCCTGAGGATGAAGCAATGTCCTTTGGAGAGGTGACCATCTTAGGGTTTCATTGCTGTGAAGAGGTACCATGACCATGGTGACTCTTATGAAAGAAAACATTTAATTGAGGGGTTTGCTTGGAGTTCCATTATCATCATGCTAGGAAGCAAAACAGCATGCAGGCAACACTGGAGCAGAAACTGAGAGCTACATTCTGATCTGTAGGCAGAGAAAGAGATTCTAAGCTTGGCATGGACTTTTGAAACCTCAAAGCCCACCCTTAGTGACATACTTCCTCCAACAAGGCCATAATGTCTAATCTTTTTAGCCCTTTCAAATAGTGCTAGTTCCTAGTGGCTAAGCAATAAAATATGTGAGCCTATGGGGCCATTCTCATTCAGACCATTGCATTGACCAAAGAACAGCTGACTACTTTCCTTTGAGGATTATCCATTTGCATTTGTCACTTAGCTCCAGGGCCCAGCTACTTCTCTCCCCTAAGGTTGGTGTGAGGACTCTGGAGATGGTGTCTTTGGCTGTGTAGCTTAATTGCTCAGGATCCCTTTTTATGTAAAACAAAAAGACTAGATGAGTACTGAGTAGTCTCTAGTACCATATATATATATATATATTTAAATTATTTCTTTAAAAACTTGATTTTGAAGTCAGAAAGATGGTTCAGTGGTTAAGAACACTTGTTCTTGCAAAGGACCCAGATTTGGTCTATAGTACCCACATAGTGGCTCACAAGTGTCATTAATTGCAATTCTAAGGGATACAATGCCCCCTTCTGGCCTTTACTAGAACCATGCTTGTGTCTGTGTATGTGTGTGTCTAGTAAAAAACAAATACTTAAAAACAAAATTTCATTTTGAATGCAAAAGAAATTAATTAGCCTCTTCCTAGCCCAAATGACTGGAGGATTTGTTAAAGAAATAATGCTTTGTATTTGGGTATTTTAATCTTTATGGATAAAAAGAAGCTGTAGCAATGATGGACACTATGAGTAGGCCATCCATTGGGGCTGTGGCAGGCTGGGGAATGATGTGTTTCTGTTCCAATTTGACATTAGCACAGAGGAGTGCTATGACATTCCCTCTGGTGGCTGGCTGCAGCACAGATTCTCTCAGACACAGACACCGCTGGCTGCTAGTTCATAACCATTCAATCAGGTTTAAGAGAACTTTCCGCTGGAGTCTTGTTTGCTACTTCTTCAGCAGCAGGGAGATAGTTTAATTACTCATCTCTTCAGCCTTTTGATTTATTTTAAGGCAAACTTATTTTCCATCAGTATTTTAAGTGTGTCTGAGATAAACTTAATTTTGAGCTAGGAAGTCTCAAAATTGAATTGTACTCATGACAAACTTACATTTCATTAAATAGAAGGACTTTTCCATACTAGGGGCAAAGCTTGGGGTCCAGCAATGATGGAGACAGTGTCAGCCTCTGAGCTACAGTCTAGTTGTAAAGAATACTTATGCACTGTTCTGTTGTTTGCTGGCCTGGCAGGAAAGATCTCCATTTCTTACTTAGACTCTTAATGAAAATTCACATTCAGTCTTCAGGTTTTAATAGACCAGCTTTGTCCTAGAGGCCTCATCTAGACCCTACCTTGACAAAGCCATCTCAGAGATACTGAACAGAAGTTTTTATTCCTTCTCTTTCAGTGTTTGAAAGGCTAGACTTTCAACCTTAAACCACAAATCTGGCCACATTTGGGAAAAACCAGAACTTGTTTGGGCGAATAAGGGGTGGAAGAAGTACATATACATGAACTGTCAAAACAGTTTGGGTGGTGGTGGGATATGTGACCTTCTGCCAAAGAGACAGTTCTTTTTTATTTGATAACCCCTAAAGGATTTTTTTTAAAAGGGGAGGGGGATCCTTTCTGAATTAAGTCTGAATTAACTTAGAAATATTATGTAGCCATTGTATCACTTTGCATGACGCTAATCGTCTTACTGGACTTACCTGGTTTTAGTCAATAAATAGTCAAGACTTAACACTGGTTGGTGTTCGGACATGGATCATGGGTAATGTTTGTACCATTCTTGTGTAGCATCCAACTTATATCTCATTGTAAATATATTTGTGTGTGTGTTCTTTATTTTGTTGTCAGGTCAGAGTTGATAATAAATACCTTCTATAAAATCTCTATGGGTCTCAGAAGTGTTCATAAGAGCTATTATTTTTACTGTATGTGCCTGTCTAGGATTACTCTCCTAAACCCACCCCTGTTTTGGCAGATTATCTGTGAAGAGCTAGGTATGGTGGTATGTACCTGTAAATCCAGCACTTGGAGGCTAATCTAAGAGAACTGAGTTCCAGATCAGCCTATACTGTATAACAAGACCCTGTCTCAAGCTAATAAATGTGTGTGTGTGTGTGTGTGTGTGTGTGTGTGTGTGTGTGTGAGAGAGAGAGAGAGAGAGAGAGAGAGAGAGAGAGAGAGAGAGAGAGAGAGTCAGAACCAGGGAGGGTTGGGGGTATAGCTCAATGATAGAACACTTAACTAACATATAAGAACCTGAGTTTCATTCCCACCACTGCAGGGGGAAAAAAGGGTGTGGCTAGGGAAGAGAGATGGTTCAATGGTTAAGAGCACATCCTGCTCTTTCAGAGGACCCAAGTTTGGTTCCTAGCACGTCTGGCCTCCTTGGGCTTCTGCACTCACGTGCACACCACCTCCCATATAGACAGTTAAAAATTAATGGTCTTTTTTTTTTTTTTTAAAGCTCTAGGTGCGGTGTGCCATTGTTTATTACAGTCCTTTTTCTAAAGTTGTCCTCTCTTGATTCTGGAGCTTGACTCTCTCATTTGGACATGCTTTATAAATAGACTTTTTTATCACTGTAATTAGAGACAAAGGTCTTAGGGAATTGCTTTTTAATTTGATAGGCTTTGGATATGATACCATAAAATCATAAAAATCAGTCTTTTCTTATCTTCTTTTTTATAGTTGGCTTTCAGCTCTTGAAAGCACAAAGTGGCTACACCACCTGTCTGTGCTCTTGAAGTCAGCGCTTCTTGTAGTACATGCTGTGGACCGTGATCAACGGCCTGTGTTAGTGCACTGCTCAGATGGCTGGGACCGTACTCCCCAGATTGTGGCATTGGCTAAGCTCCTGCTGGACCCTTACTACCGAACAGTAGAGGTGAGTGTGTGTCTTGAGAGAGGGAGGGAAGGAGGGAAGAGGGGAGCAAGAGTAAGCAAGCATTCAGGGTAGGTTGATGAAAACTTTTAGGAGGGTTGCACTGTCGGTTGGGGACTGGAAGTTAGGTCTGTGGAAACGGCCACTTTGTTATGATCATACTCCTCACCTAGAGCTGTGTCTCTTTCCAGTTCTTTACCTCGCTCAGTAGAACATGGTTTAGATGACAGGTGCTGAGGACATAAACATCTCTTTTGCAGTTTCTCTACTTGAAAAAATTTTGTCTATCTCAGGAAAATGAGCTTCTGCAAAAGAATGTCTGCATGCTTATGATGGTGGGTCTAGACAGGACCACACAGCATTCTGGAACATCTGCTCTGAAATAATCATTATGGGTTAAAGATATAAGAACAAAAACATAAAGTGACATAAAATACAAATATTTATAAAAAATCTGTGCTGAGGAATGTAGCTTTGTAAATGTAACATAGAAGACAAAAATTAATAAAAGAGATATTTAGGTAGGTAGGTAGCATTTATGTAGTAAATGAGAGAGGCTGTGTCAGTGTTCTTTAAATTTTGAATATTGAATGAAGCTGGTGAATTGAGACGTGTGTGTAAATGGGTGTGTCATTAGGGAGAGAACCTTTGGCTCTGAGCCTGGGCCAGAGGGACTTACCAGGAGGCTGTTAAAGGAGATTGATTACCACTGGTGACATGGAACTCAGGATGTCACAGGTGATGGTACTACACAAGTGATCTCTCCTTGGTGCCTCCCTGCAGGGTTTCCAAGTCCTTGTGGAGATGGAATGGCTGGATTTTGGCCATAAATTTGCTGACCGGTGTGGTCATGGGGAGAATTCAGATGATCTGAACGAACGTTGCCCAGTGTTTCTGCAGTGGCTTGACTGTGTTCATCAGCTTCAGAGGCAATTTCCTTGCTCTTTTGAGTTCAATGAAGCATTCCTTGTGAGTTTGGACTTAATGATTCTACATTTTGGGAACCACCTACACTTAGGGGGATGTTGATACAAATGTTAGTGGGCCATTTTCACCAAAACTATGCATTTTCACATTTAATTTGGAGGGACTGTTTTATTTAATAGCAATAGCAGTTAACAGGCATTTTATTTTTCACACAATAAATCTAGGTGCACTAGCTTTTCCTCTGTAAACAGAGTTTGTTTTAAACTTGACTTCTAAAATGTATGGTCTAAAAAGTGGTAGAAATAGGAACAATCTGAATGTGCCATGCTCCTCTGCAGTCCTTCTACCAATGCTGTCTGCTCCCTCTTCTTTGGTGGAAGGTGTACTCTTCCTGCTTCAGCCCCTGTTCCGCTGTCCTTCAGTCTACCTCCTGCATTAGATTGTCTTTGACATAGAAGTGCTGGTGGTTGGGATCAGGCCCTGCAATTGGTAATTGTGAAGAGGAGGCCATGTGTAGACTGCCTATGCACATACACCCCATATCCTTGAGTGAGCTGAGGTGTTCTCAGGGATGTCATGGTGAATTGTTCACTTGGCTGACCTCCTTTCCAATACCATGTACCTTACTGTTTGATTTTGCCCGATTGGACTTGGCAGGTGAAACTGGTACAGCATACCTATTCCTGCCTGTTTGGAACATTCCTGTGCAACAACGCCAAGGAGAGAGGGGAAAAGCAGACTCAGGAACGGACATGCTCTGTGTGGTCACTTCTTCGGGCAGGCAACAAGGCTTTCAAAAACCTACTGTATTCATCTCAGTCAGAAGCCGTATGTACCTTTGAGCCCATCTCTGTTCAGCAGAAGTGATTTGGGGATGGGGTCACCATGTGGGAGCCGGTTTGAGTAGTGCCTGTTTTTGCAAAAATATGTCTGCTGTCTCAAGGTTCTGGTTCCATTTTTCCATTTTCTACAGTTTTGTCTAAGCAAAGCCTGTTTTTCTGATAATGCTCTAGCCTGCCCATAACCAAGGTTCTTGGTGTAGCACACATCTCTACTTTGCCACCTTAGACATGAGTCATTGCCAGTACCTCCTCCATGTTGTAATATGAGGAGCGGGACTGCGTCCCTGGCACCCGGCCGTCTGCATTGCTAGCTTTACCCAAAATCATTACACGGAAATTGTATTCTTTTAAACACTGATTGGCCCATTAGCTCTAGCCTCTTATTGGCTAGCTCTTACATATTGATCTAACCCATTTCTAATAATCTGTGTAGCCCACGAGGTGGCTTACCAGAGAAGATCTTAACCTGCATCTGTCTGGAATGGGAGAATCGTGGCGACTCACTGATTCAGCTTCTTTCTCCCAGCATTCTGTTCTGTTTTCTCCGCCTACCTAAGGGTTGGCCTATCAAATGGGCCTAGGCAGTTTCTTTATTAATAAGAAATCACTCCCGCATCATTTCCCCTTTTTCTCTTTAAACAAAAAAGAAAGGCTTTAACTTTAACATAGTAAAATTACATATAACAAAACAGTTATCAAGTAAGAATTACAGTTACAATATTTATATCTACTTTATCTTTTATCATAACTAAGGAAAACTATAGCTATCTATCTATTCTTCAACTCCATCAAAGACTCCAGAAGGATATAATATTACCTAAGCAAACAAGAAATCCAAAACTCTAGAATTGACAGAGACATCTCGCTGCCTCGACAGTCTCCCAAAGTTCCTCTGTACCGTTGGGGCATCCATCTTTGGCCTTCAGGCCCATAGTATCCAGCAGACATTTCCATGAAGCAGGAAATTTCAAAGACAGTTCAGTCACTTTCTGCTGTGTCCTGCAGAATGTCTCGCAGACTCTTTCATGAATCAGGAACCCCGAAAGACCATCTCACCTTTAGGCAAGTTCAGCAGTCCTCTCTCTGCGGGTTCTCTGTGTCCAGTTTATGCAACGGTCCAGGCAAGAACAGTTTCTTGCCCAAATGGCTATCAAACTCCATAAGGAGCCTCTTCAATGCCCATCTTCCTCTTGAAGTAGCTGGTGCTGTCAGAAGCAGACGTGTCTCATTGTCATGAAAAGCCCTAAGTTATTAAAATATTTTAAATGCCATATTTTGCAGTCTTTGAAAGATATGAAGAATGCCTATCTAACTGAAGTATATCTCTATCTAGAAAATCTAACATGACTACAAGCTTTATTATTATCAATGATTATCCATTAACAACCTATATTTCCTAATTATACATTACATTTTAAAAATGAACTACACAATCATAATACCTTAATCAAGATCAGAAATACATATACATATAACAAAATTGACCTTAAAATCCATACCAGTGCAGATTATTCATATCTACATCACCTCCAGAGCTCACTGCGTTCCTAGCATGTTTCAGCTCAGCAGAGGGAAGGCACTGGGCACCTTTGCAGATGCCTTTTATGGCTAAGAAGGGTCAGCTACCAGGTACCTGCTACTGTCCCCATGAGCCAGACAATAGGATCCAGTGCATCTTTCTGTCAGACACAAAGCTTTTTCTGAGGCTGGCATGTGTCTGTCTGTGATTCTTTCCACATGGAGAGCTAGCAGGCCTTTTAAGACTTTGTTCCCCCTCAAAGAGCACCTTCTGCTAAACAAAGAAAAGAGGCGCATATGTCTGTGTATCAAAATGTATTAATGTTCCCTTTGTCAGATGCATTTTAAGCCCTTAGAAATCAAAGCAGGCTAATCAGAGGTTATATTACTTTGCTGCAATTGATTCGCTTCTCATTACATTTAAAAGATGTATGCTGCTTCATTCCTTCCTTGGGAAGGGAGGGAGATTCCTTTATTTTTCACATGATTAAGTAAGTCTGTAAACCAGATTTGGCAGTTCCGCTGAAGCTGAACTTTGAGGAAACGGACACTCACTGTCTAACAGAATGATTCTTAGGCAGTAAATCAGGCTAATATTAAAGTCAGTCATTCAGTAAAAACCACCTGAGATAATGTCAGTCTTTAAAGGATCCATTAGGTTTTCATGCTCGAGAGCCTCTTTAAGTGAAAACTGTTGTCAGACAGACCCCATGGTTCTGTACCTGTCCTCTTGGGAGACAGACCTTCCTTTACTAACACTACCTCCTTGTTTATCTGTGACCCACCTGGGTGTGCTTGTTCTTGTTCCTTATTTCTAGACATTTCTGAGAGACTTTGGGGGTCTGTATAAACCTGTGTCCTCCCCGTCTCCTTAGGTGCTGTACCCCGTGTGCCATGTGCGGAATCTGATGCTGTGGAGTGCAGTGTACCTTCCCTGTCCATCTCCATCTACTCCCACAGATGACAGCTGTGCACCATACCCAGCCCCAGGCTCCAGCCCTGACGATCCCCCCTTAAGCCGGTGAGCTCGGGGCCACAAGTCTCAAGTCCTGTGTGGTGGGATTCTTTCTCTCCCTTCCTCTCCTTCTCCCCCCCCTGCCCCCCCCCCCCGCCTTTCCCTCCCAAGCTGACCTCAGACTTGCAGTGATGTGATTTACTAGTATGAACTGCCACATCTGGCTGAAGTTTGACTGCTGCTGCTTTTTTTTGGGGATTTGTTTTGTTTGTTTCAAGACAGGGTTTCTCTGTGTAGCCCTGGCTGGCCTGGAACTCACTCTGTAAACCAGGTTGGCCTTGAACTCACAGAGAGCTGCCTGCCTCTACTTCTTGAAGGCTGGGATTAAAGGCATGTGCCACCACTGTCGAGTTTCTTAAGGAAAATAGTAAGGCCTTATTTCTGGAAGTGAGTTGGCCTGTTGCTACATTATTCTGCTACATGCATGAGAAGTTTCTTAGATGGACCACATCCATTGAGGTCTTTGTGACTCTCTGGTTTGTTTACCCACTACTCTCTGCTTCTTCCTCTGGGTCCTGATTGGTCTTCTGATGCTGTTGAGATGAGAGAAATTTTGGCCACTTGTGAATTAACCTTATTAAGATTGTAGTGATAGATAATAAATGAACTTAAAATGTGTAATACAAAGAACCAGCAAGCTACTCTGCCACTACCTGAGAGACACGAAGAAGCTTCACGAGGAATGCTTGTTGAAGACTGCAGTGCAGCTCAGTTGGTAGAATACTTGCAAGAAGCCCTGGGTCTGAGCTCCAGTGCTGTATAACCCTGGCATTTATGACACATTCCTGTACTGTCCGCACATTGGTGGTGGAGGCAGAAGATTGAGTTCAGTGTCATTCCTAGGCTATGTAGAGAGTGTGAGGTCATTCTGGGATACATGCATCCCTGTCTCAAAAATCAAAAAAGAAAGAGAGAAAAATAAATAAATAAAAGAATGACTTTATGGCTTTCAGAAATATGTGCCAGGCAGTGGTGGCGCACACCTTTAATCCCAGTACTTGTGAGGCAGAGGCAGGGCATCTCTTGAGTTCAGTGCTAGCCTAGTTACAGATTGAGTTCCAGGACAACCAAGGCTACACAGAGAAACTCTGTCTCAAAAAACCAGAAAAAAAGAAATTGTATATGCTTTGAGCTTATAGAGGCGGGGACTGACAGTGGGGCAGTGCTGATGGAGAACCCTGCCTCTGCAGGAATCTGAGCCTTGTTTCAGAGATGTTGCTGTAATGGTCCAGTTGTGAAACAGTGACATATTTAAAAACATGTCCCGACTGCGCTCCAAATAGCCTCTACGATTCTCATTTTCCCCAAACTCTTTTTTTCTAGGCTACCCAAGACTAGATCATTTGACAATCTGACCACAGCCTGTGACAACATGGTGCCTCTGGCCAGCCGGCGCAGCAGTGACCCCAGCCTGAATGAGAAATGGCAGGAGCATGGGCGCTCCCTGGAGCTGAGCAGCTTTGCTGGCTCTGGGGAAGAGGCTCCTGCTATGGACAGCCTGCGGAAGCCCAGCAGGCTGCTTGGAGGTGCTGAGCTATCTGTGGCGGCTGGTGTGGCTGAAGGGCAGATGGAGAACATTTTGCAAGAGGCCACCAAAGAGGAGAGTGGGACAGAAGAACCTGCCCACAGGGCGCACACTGAGGTACCAGATATCAAAGAGGAGACACTCCTAGCAAAGGAGAGCAGTATGGTGACTGAGGGCTCAGTCGTACTTCACCAAGAACCAGAGCTAGATGATGCTACTCTAAGAAACCATCTAGACCCCAGCCTGCCTTTGTTCTCACAGGATACTCCTGAACAGCAGGATGAACACAATGTTCTCTCTAGTTCACCCCAGGCTCCCCTCAGGGGAGAGGACTCCCAGGAGGTCCCTGTGGAGCAGCCTCAAGTAGAGAATATTGCAGAGGACAGGGAAAATGTAGCTCCTGCTGTCCCAATAGATGCAAAAGTTGGCCTTGGTACCTCACAGTCTAGTTCTCCGCTGCCTTCCCAAGTCCCATTTGAGACAAGAGGACCACACACAAACAGCTCCATGCACACGTTACTAGTGGATAAAGTGAAGTCAGAGAGTATGCCCCAGCTCCATCACAGACCTTGCCTGGCAAGCAGTGGTAGGTTCAGTGGCAGGGACATGCTTCCCATGGCTCCAGAGCCCAGGTCTGCTGAGAGGCCCCAATGGGATTCTGTGCTATATAGGACTTCATCCCCTGGTAACACCCTCAGCCTGATGCGGGCTCCTTGTGCCTTGCCATTAGACAAATATAGACAGGGAATTGTGTGCAACGGTGCCCTAGAGACTGAAAATAAGGCTTCAGAACAGCCTTCAGGGTTTGGCACCTTTCAGAAGTACCCCACACCCAATGGACACTGTGCCAATGGGGAGACTGGGAGGAATAAGGACTCACTGAGCCACCAACTATCTGCCACAAGCTGCAGCTCTGCTCACTTGTACTCAAGGAACTTGCACCACAAGTGGCTGAATAGCCACTCAGGGAGGCCATCCACTACCAGCAGCCCTGACCAGCCTTCCCGCAGCCACCTGGATGATGATGGCATGCCTGTATACACAGATACAATCCAACAGCGCCTGCGTCAGATAGAGTCTGGCCACCAGCAAGAAGTGGAGACCTTGAAGAAACAAGTCCAGGAGCTGAAGAGTCGCCTGGAGAGCCAGTACCTGACCAGCTCTCTGCGCTTCAATGGGGACTTTGGGGATGAAGTGGTAAGTTAGGTCATGATTCCTTTAAAGCTATCCAAAGAGATGACACTTACACCTGAAGCATTGGTTATTGGAACAGATTTTGAAAGGACTAGAAAGGTCTTAAATTGCTGTGTGGAGAGAGATTGTTTAGGAATTAGCCTTGGACATGGAGACAACAGTCTGCCTTTTTTCTGCTGTATTGACTTTCCATTCCCTTCTAGGCAGTTAAGAAAATGGGAGAGAGTTAATGCATGACATGGGGTCCTGTGTCAATCAGGCTTTGTGGCTCACGCCTGTAATCAAACACTTGAGAGACTGAGGCAGAGCATTTCCACATGGTTGAAGCCAGCCTGAGCTGCATAGTTGAGTTTCAGGCTAACCTGGGCTACAGTTACCCTGTCTCAGTTCACTCCACCCCCAAATAAAAATATTGTATATTTAGAAGGGCTTGCATGCCTGTTCACAATGGTATTTATAGAGCAGTGCTGATATTGTTATGTTGGAGTGTTTGTCCTGCCTCACTAGTAAGCTGCCTGCTTTCCTAGACTTCGGGAACTTTGAGAGCTTTGTTCTTTTTTGTACAAGTGATTATACGCATTCTGTGGCAGGTGCTGGCAGGAGAAATGGAGAGAAGGGATTGAATTTTTTTTTTTTTTTAAGCATTGTTGGGCTTAGCACTGATGAGGCTTGGGGGCTAGAAACAAGGCTGTCAGCGTTCTTGGGTTCCCAGAGGAGCTTTCTTCTTTGATGGGTGCCATTACAAGTGTATGGCAGGTTCTGGAGTAATCATCCCACTAGTGACTTTACAGCCAATGGAACTTTTAGCTTTTTCTTCATACTAATTAATAATGGTTTCTCAATGTCCCAAAGAGTCCTTCAGAAAAAGGCAGGCATATCCAAATCACTGTTCTCATTAAATGCTGGACTAGATCACCAGGGCCCCAGACAGATGACACAGGGTCCTTCTCCATCTCGCTCACTTCCCTTGCTTCCTGGAACCTAAGACTCAACTTTCCACTCAGTGCCACTTCACAAAATCCATGTAGCCTTCTGAGCCCAGCCCCGCCTCTGCACTTGGTCAGCCCATCTGGATGGCTGGTGTAACTGCACATTTGGCACCTTAGCACTCAGACCCCAGTGCTCTGTTCTCCTGCGGGAGGAGACAGGTTCATTCTGTTCAGTTGTGTTTGTTTGCCAACAGACTTCAATCCCCGACTCGGAAAGCAATCTGGATCAGAAATGTTTGTCTCGCTGCAGCACAGAGATTTTCTCTGAAGCCAGCTGGGAGCAGGTGGATAAACAGGACACAGAGGTACAGGCTCAGCCCCTGCTCTGCGTGCCATCCATACAGGTGTCCTACAGTTCTTCTCCACTCCAGTCCCTGCCCCATGCCCCTCACCAAAGAAGGAAACTCACAGTAGAATTGAGCCTTTGCATCTCTGTGTCTGGGAACCCACGTCCATCAACTCTAAGCCAGGGATACTCAGTAAGCTGGCCCTCTCTCTCCATTGCCTCTGCCAGCTCTCATGGCAGATCAGGGTGCCATTGCTGCCATGTTGCCTTGGGGAGAGCAGAGTCCCCTCCAGGCAAACAATTTGGACACGTTCCTTGAACCGTTGTCAGCAGGCCTGCTCCGCTGGTACCACTGGAGCCTATGTAGTCCCTGTGATTCTTGTTCCCCCTGGTGTGACTCTGTTGACTTAGCTGACTGGCCCACTTCCTGTCACTAACCCGGTCCCATGTGTTTTACAGATGACCCGTTGGCTACCTGACCACCTGGCTGCCCACTGCTATGCCTGTGACAGTGCCTTTTGGCTCGCCAGCAGGAAGCACCACTGCAGGTGCCATTGGGGTAGCTTTTAGGGTGGGAAGGTGAACCTTACTAGCAGTGTTCTGTGTGAACTACCCTTGGGGTCACATTTTTGTGCCTCTGACATTGGTCCTTCCAGAACTGCATTTGGGAACTCTATTCCAATTCAATGATCACTATTAAATTTTGAAATGTGGGCATACTTTGTTTCATTTCCCAGATTGGTGAGGTAACAACTACCATGCAGATCTTCATTTCTTATTTCCAGCATAAAACTGATGATAGCTACTTTGAGCAAAAACAGTTTTCTAGCTGTGGGCAGGAAGCCTGGTTTTCCTACTTCTTTCTGCTCCCTGCTCCCTGTGCTACTGCTGAGAAGCTGTGGCCGGGGAATAGTAGACACAACTGAGGGCAGTCTCCAATCCTTGCTGCTCCTAACTTCTTTCTCCCAGGTTAAGCAGTGAGTTACTAAGGCTACTTTGTCCTGGCAGGGGTAACTCTCTGGTAGATGTCTAGTGTTCTTAGGATAGGAAGTTTATTAGAATCGTACGGTGGCCCATATGTAGAAGTGAGCCTGGATTGAAAGTGATGGAAAAATCTCCTTGTAGACAGATGACACTCTTAGGACCATAGGACTCCCCCACCCCATACCCCTAGACCAAATGGCTTCTCTTCTGAGCTCTTTTTCCCCTCCTTTCAGGGACACTGACCGTGTTGATCAAACGTGGTGAGCATTTGCAACAACTTGTCTGTGATGTCTGCACACCCACAATAACTTCTCCACACTAATGCTGCCATTCCCTTCTCTGCACTCATTGGCCTGAAGCCTCATAAGGGAGAGCACAGGCAGGCAGGTGGGCACGGGGATCCACTGCAGCTGGTGAAAGAGAGTGCCAGGGGCGTGTCTGCTGTAGCCTTGTGCTCCCCTGTGGACTGTACAGGCAAGCTGGGCTGTTACTTCTTGATGATCTTTTGGGGGAAGCCAGTGGGCTTCAGGACTTTTTTGAGGAGGAGAGGTGACAGTCATTCATCGATGCCAGGATGGTGTCAAATGGCATTGCTTCCTTGTTTTGTTTTTATAGAGACAGAAGTGACCAAATACGATCTTTCCAGAGAATTACTTAGCATGCATGACTCCACTTAGGTCTTTCAGGGCCTCCCAAAGGAAGTCAGATAGAAAAACTTACTTGATCAAATTCATGTCAGGCTTTGAAAAAAGCTGAACTTAAGCAGGTACGTCAAACAAGTATAGGCATCCAGAGATTTCCTGTTCCTGTGTTCAAGAATCACAAGTTCTTGTTGACTCGTGCTTCTTAGAAAGTTGTGAAGTGCTTCTTATTCTAGAAACGTAGGGCTTTGTGTTCTGTGTCCCACCTTCCCTTCTACAGTGTTGCTTTGTCTCATGTGGTTGTCAGTGTCTGCTTCTCCTGTGCTCAAGTGGTTCCTACCCAGTGTGGTCTGCATTCTGAATTGGGTGACTGAGAAATTAGCTCAGAGGAAGCTTTCCTATTAACTTCTCTTCTCATCTCTGGAGAGCTGTGTCAAGTACCTTGGAGTTTCCTGTGCTATGTTGATCAGTGTTGGTTTGGACTTTAGGGCTCAGAAAATGTAGGATTGTAAGGTAGGCCGGACCCATCCTGTGTTAGTTACCTTTCGTGTGTGTGTGTGTGTGTGTGTGTGTGTGTGTGTGTGTGTGTGTGTGATGGTTGTCAGTCTTAGCTGTGCAGCTCAATGCTGCACAGATGCAAGAAGTAGGGGTTTTGGTGGAAAGGAGAGGGGAGCCTGGAGATGCATGGGGCAGGGTGGTGAACCATAGCTGAACTGACTGCTGTCTAATAGGGATGTATACATGCATATGTTTCTTCATGGGCTGTCCTTCCCCTTCCCTTTCACGCTGAGCATGTGTCAAGTGCTGCTTTGACTTTTGGCTTTGCATGCTGCTGGTAGCAGTCTGCATCCACCTTGCCTCTAAGGTAATGACCATTAGGTAGGGTCTCCATCCCCAGCTGGGCAGCATAGTTGTTTTCCTTCTTTGAGGGACCCACAGGTCAACTCCTCCCTTTTGCCTCCCTGTAACCTTAAGCTACCCAGATGGCCAGTACCAAGGTCAGTGCAGCCACTGGGTGTGTCACCAGGTCAGAACTGAGTGCTGAGCTGGCAGCTGCTTCAGTGCTGGGCTCATTTATCCACAGAGAGCTAGCTCTCCTGAGCATCTTTCTGTGCATCTGACAGCCATGTGCTGGAGCGGTGAGGCAGCCACATGTCCTCAGCCTGAAGTGAAAGTGACTCTACTAGGTAGACTTGTCTTCCTACTCAGCGTCTTCCTGCCTGGAGAAGAGAACATGTTCCTAGCACATCTAGACTATACACGGCAAATGCTTACTGAAGTTGGGTTTTTCCCACAAAAACCTACCAGCTGAAACTGATGTTATTTTATTTCTTTTTTGTCTCAAGGAATTGTGGGAACGTATTCTGCTCCAGTTGTTGTAACCAGAAGGTTCCAGTTCCTAGCCAGCAGTTATTTGAACCCAGTCGAGTGTGCAAGTCTTGCTACAGCAGCCTTCATCCCACGAGCTCCAGCATTGACCTTGAACTGGATAAGCCTATTGCTGCCACTTCAAACTGAAGCCAGTGACCTGGGGTGGCAGAGGCCATGCTGCTGTTCGTTTCATAGGCTCATACACAGCCTGGGCAGTCCGAGAGGCCCATACACTTTGGAATGGGGGCATGGAACAACCTGTACAGAGATTGGGATGTACCACTGGATTGTAAATTGGTTTTTGTTTCATCTTCCCTTCCCTTTCCATGTTCCCTCTTTGCCTTTTAAAAAGAAAAATGCCCCCAGTTGTCTTACTTTTTTTTTTTTTTTTTTTAAATGGAAGCCCAGAGGTTGCCAGGCCCCTATAACTGCTGAGCTGTTTGCTCTTTGGCATGCTGGGGAATGACTCAGTGCTTCCCAGTGGAAGGAGCCAGAATGAAGGCCTGAGTGAGCACAACAGAAAGTCAGCTTAACATAAGTGACCATTCCTCACATCACAGCTACGGCAGAGCCGGTTGGTAAACCTTTGTGCCGGGGAGGCTGGAAGGACCTTTCTGGAGAGTGCTATTCTGGGGAGGGATAGGGTCATCCCAACTCACAGGTAAAAACAGGATGACATTGGGAGGAAGGGCACACAGTGAGGTACTCCACAGGCCTCACTTTGAAAGAGGGGTCTGTGCTTCTTTTGAGTTACGGAGGGGCTGGGTAGCTGACATGTTGGCCCACATGGATTCTATCTTTAACTTGACCAGATTGGGTAGGGCTCCCTTTGCCTGGGCTTCCAGATAAAGGTGCAGAACAGCCAGACTGCAGTGCCCTGCTGCTGTGCTCAAGACCTGCATGGGCCTAGGCGCCTGGAGCTTCTTCTGGGGCCTGGTCCTACAAACAATCTCTTCCTCCGCCAACACAGGAAAATCCAGACTCAGGGTTCCACAAGTCCCCATTCCCAAAGTAAACCAATCATGCATCTCCCCTTGAGGGGCAGAGTCCCACAGTTACAAAGCTCTCCACACGATCAGTCCTCCTCTTCCCCTACTTCAGGGGGCAGTAGGAAGGACCCAGGAGTCCCCTGTCCTGTTTCTGGCTGCCTGAGTGGGCACATTCTGGCTTTTGCTACGAATGAAGAACCACTTGGTGATTGCAGGGTTCTTAGAAAATGACATGAGGAGTTTTGATGTGGTCCAAAAAGAGCCTTAGAGCAGTAATTATCTGTGGTGGAGGTGGGTGTGGGAAGGGTGGAGAGTAGTTGGTTTGTGCTTTGAATTGTTGGCATCTATTTGTGCCTGCTCCCACCCCCAGGGCCATGCTTGGCTCTTCTAAAAGCCGCGAGCTGGTAACAGAACAGAGTGTAGTGTGAGGGCTGGGTGTGGTTGGGTGGACACCTCAGTTCTAGCTGGCCTGGTCCATGCCCCTCTCCTTTGGAAGCTGTTACCTGACCATGGGCATTCTGTGTCTCAGGAAGATGGTTCTGCATATTTCCTGAGTGTGGGTGCGAGAAGTCCAGAAGCCTTCCCTAGCACTGTTGGCTGAAACGAAGCCCAGGGTATCAGAGCACTGCTCATTCCTCAAGCAACAAGTCACACAGAGGCCGACTCTAGTGAAACAGGGTGACATGCTCCTCCATGCTTGCTGTGTCTGGAGGTGCAGGTAGGGAAAGGTTGGTGTAATTGAAGATTGTGCAGTTCCTAGTGACAGGTGCCAAGAGGTTATGATACGGGTTTCTTGGGTCTGTTGTACAGTGTGAATAAATGCTTGCAGCTCTTTGCCCTTTTTGATCAATGAAGCACTTTTTTATTAATATTTTCTTTGTATGTAAAGGAGGAACCGTAACTCTCCGTAGCTGTACATAAAACCCTTTTCTCCTAAAGAGGAGTCAATGCTCCTATATTTTTCATTTTTTTGTCAAAGCAAGAAGTAAATACTTTAGAATTGTTAAATATATAGATAAAGTGAATAAAGTTGAGTGTCCGCACAGTGGCATCTGCTAACGAGTTCTGATTCTTTGCCCTGTAGTTTAATCTCTTTGTCCTTTTCCCCCTCACATAGGAGAAGTGGTTTGAGGAGCTTCGAGTCTGACCTTGGCAAAGGAAAATGACACATTTCAACTCTAGACCTTGGCAAAGGAACTTCCCAGCATGCCCAAGCACTCTAAACCATTTCCTCAGTGATTCAGAGCACTTGGGCATTACAAGGACCGACTGCACATCTGTGGTAGTTACCTCTGCCTGTCTTTTACCACAGGCTGGCACATGTGTTAGCTGGAGCTGACTGAGAGAGTACTGCCCTGAGACTGTGTAGGGCCCAGCAGCTGCTGCATGACAGAGGCTTTCTCAGAACCACGTCAGCACTTAGAATCTTTACTGTTTCATACTTAGTGCATAGCAGGTTTGTGTTGAAAGGCAGCCATTGAATTTTATTTGGTTTTTAAGCACCTACTTGTTTTCCAGCAACCAAAGAGCAGTAAGCCTCTTGCTGCTTAACCACAGAGTCATCTTTCTAGTCTCTGGGCTGGGATTACATTTATTACACTTACTTATTTATTCATTATGTGCATATGTGTATGTGGCACAGTATGTAGATCAGAGGACAATCTGTAGCAGTCAGTTCTCTTTCTACTATAGCATGTGGGACCTGGGGATCAAAACTAAGGCTTGGTGACCGGCTGTGCCATTCTGTCAGCCCAGTCTTAAAATACGATGCCACAAAGCCTCATTGCCAAATCCTGATCCCAGCTTTTCTATCAGAAATCTTAGAACTTTAAAGGTGGGCACAGAAATAGTTAAGTCAGTCACATAACACTAAATGGCACGGGGCTCTTCTTTCAGCTTGACTCGGCTCCTCCCTGTCCCTGAGCCTGAAAAGTGGAAAGCAAGTTCTTGAAGTTTCTGCCTGTAGCAGGGCTGTGTGTTCCTGCCCTTCTTTTGCCGATCCCTGATGTCCTGGACTCTGTGCTCATGTCGCCAGGGACCACACAACCATTTGGCCACCTTTTTTTTTTTTTCTTTTTCTTTGAGACAAGGTTTCTCTGTGTAGCCCTGACTGTCCTGGAACTGGCTTTGTAGACCAGGCCTGACCTTGAACTCAGAGATCACCTGCCTCTGCCTTTTGAGTGCTGAGATCAAAGGTGTGTGCCACCATCCAGCCCCCATCTGGCCTTCTTAATCTCAGTGCATATATGCTGGTGCTTCTGCTGCAGCTGCCCCTGTGCCCCTTGATGCTCTCTGAGAGCAGGAGTCCTCGGGTTCCAGCTCTGTGACCTCCTGTAACACTTGCTTCCTAGAAGACCGAGCGGCTGAGCTGAGAGTAGCTCAGTGTTACATCGGTAAGGTCCAGTCCCAGCCTCCACCCTCCAAGGAAAAACTTTTCAAAATGGGAGCTGCACTTCCGTATGACTGTGCCAGATTCAGTGGAGGGCCTTCCTCCCCTGCACTAGGTGTGCCCACGCCCCCCACCCTCCTGGGACTAGACCTCTAGCCCAGCTTTGCCAGCGGAAGGAGTGAAGCAATAGGGCCCCCCCTGACCTCTGTGCTCCCCAGCCTGCAGGATCTGGTAAGCTGGTCATTGCATGCTTCCCAATGACTGCCAAGTAGAAATTGGCCTTCTAGTTGTATGCTGCTTTTGGATGCCTCTACTTGGTCTGTTTATGAAGCTTGGTTACAATTCTGACCATAGCAGGTAGCAATGAATCCCAGCAACTAAAACTGCTCCCCAGGGCTCTGTAATGCCAAGGGAATGGTGAAGGGTTAGGAGGTCATTTCCAGTATCTTGCCCATTCTGAGCCTTCCAGGTAGACTGGCCAATCAGGTATGCCTTAGATCCCCACCCAGGCTGAAGGCAAGATCATCTGTTTGTCCTGACACTGTACCCCTCCCCCATTATGGGGACCCTGGCCAAGCCCCCCCCATGGGGCTTTGCACCTTTCAGCTATGAATATACCCTGTAAGTGATTCATTTAATATGTCACTGGAGGCCGAAACTCTGTCCAGGCTTCATTAGTGACTCAGGGGCATCCCTGACTCGCTGTTCCACAAGATGGCATGTGCCTTCAGTATTATTTGTCTTCAAAAATGTCACCTTTTATGGAAAAACAGGTAAATAAATATATTGGAAGGTTTATTATTATCTCAACAGACCTGGGACCTGCAAAGCTTCTCAGAGTCGACCAAAAGAGAGACCAGAGTTTCACCAAAACAAAAAGTGCAGGAACCAGCAAAATGCCTCAACTGATAAGTCTGACAACCTGAGCTTTGGGTTGTTTGAGTTGGTTCCCTACATGGCGAACTGAGAACTAGCTAACTACTCTGCTTCCACACGCATGCCAGATTACCTTCGTGAAGCATCTGATTGGTCATTCCCATTTCCCAATGGCTGTCCTGTGAGAGCATTTCCTAGGCTATGTGCTTTGTAGAACCTCTGGCTCGTATTTCACTGCATTGCCCACATCAGAAGTTTCCAGCATTGCTGTGTATGTTCAGTGCTGGGGCAGGTGGCTGTGAGTGGAGACACTGGACAGGGAAGGAGTTGCTAGGAGAATGCTGTCATGGTCAAGTGGACGGTGTTGGTGCTCTCTACAGTCTACTGACTGCAGGAGCATAGCTCTGAGGAAGAATGAAACCCAGGGAGATGATGGCCTAGCCAAGTCAGCCAGTGTGAGTCTGGACAGGAGTGCAGGTGTGAGAACTGTGCCAGAGCACAGGGTGAGTGAGTGCGGAAAGGCAGCAAAGTTAAAAGTTCAGGCAAGACATGTCTTGCGTCAGGCCCACACAGGCCTGTCCTATAGCCGGCAGAGAGTGAACTGAGGTGACAAGATTTACTGTAGATCGGTGCTGCAGAAGTATGCCCCACGAATTTCTTGTCCACCCAGCAAATGAGCAACACAGCCTTGTACCAGCCACTGCACCACCAGGACTGCGGATTACCTTCAGCTGGATGTGGGAAGTGGCAGGGGAAACATGAAACAAGCTGAGGTGGGCAGTAGTGCCATAAGATGAAAACGTCTAAAGCAGGGGAGGGGGCTAAGTGCAGGACCAAAGGGCTGCGGTGTTTCTAGTGTGGCACAGACCCATAATAACAGCTACTTACAGGCCCAATGCAGGACAACCAATCCACAGCCTGTCTGGATTTGAGAGTGAATTCAAGTCCATCCTGGTTTCTAGGAGGCTTTCTGTTGCTGCAATGAAACCATGACCAAAAGGCAAGTTGGGGAGGAGAGGGTTTATTTGGCTTACACTTCAGCATTGCTGTTTATCACTGAAGGAAGAAGTCAGAACAGGAACTCAAGCAGGGCAGGATCCTGGAGACAGGAGCTTATGCAGAGACCATGAAGGGGAGCTGCTTACTGGCTTACTTCCTATGTCTTGTTCAGCTGACGTTTTTATAGAACCCAGGACTAACAGTTGGAGGCTGGCACCACCCACCATGGGCTGGGCTCTTCCCCCATTGATCACTGAATGAGAAAATGCCTTACAGCTGGCTCTCATGGAGGCATTTCCTCAGCTGAGGCTCCTTCCTCTCTGATGACTCCAGCTTGTGTCAAGTAGACATGCAAAATCAGCCAGTACATCTGTACAATTTGGTGAAAGCCTATCATTTTTTTTAAAAGGATGGGTATAGCACCATTGGTGGGCTAGCACACTCAAGGCCCTAGGTACAATCTCAGTACCACACACATAGATAACTGATTCCCACTGAATTTGCTATCCAAGCTGTATTAAAGTATCCAAGGAATAGCCAACATTTCAGTAAAGAAGCAGGTAGGTACTAACTGCTTTGTTTCCTGTGGGGAGCTGTCCTCACTCCTGTAACTTGTAGGTCTAATGGGGCCAGCCTGCATTTAAACTCAATTTCTAAGCTAGGTTTGTTCTCTTTTGGACTCAGATTCACTACACAGTGAATTCGATGACAGCTTGAACTATACAGTACCTGCTTTAAAAAAATAAAAGCAACAAAATCTTATTAGTTTGCAGCTGATGTTGTTAGTGACTATGACAACCAAACAAACTGCTTAGAAGTCAGGGACTGTGACCCAGTGTGTGGACCTAATGTCTATCCCCCTAAATTGTCAGGGACTGTGACCCAGTGTGTGGACCTAATGTCTAGCCCCCTAAATTGTCAGGGACTGTGACCCAGTGTGTGGACCTAATGTCTAGCCCCCTAAATTGCCTAGTTCAGGTGGTCTTGACCACCACTCTGCTATCATTGCTCATCTGAGGATTGTGCAAACTCTTGTTCAGTAGGGATGTTGAGGAGCCAGTGAGGAAGTAAGTTATGTTTAGCAAAAGTCTGTTTGGTCTACAGTGTGAGGACGGCATCCTGCCAGAGTCTCTGTGGCTGTGAAACTGTAGCCTGCCAGCTCCAGGCACCAACATCTACTACACCTACAGAGAGCAGCGGGACATCTGTCAGGTCTCAGGGACAGAAAATACTTCTGACCATCTAAGCCGAAATACTAGAGAAAGGTGTTGTCCAAGTCAGGCTTTCTGGCAATAGTGGGGCGCCCTGCCCTGGCTTCAGAAAGTCCTCCTGGGATATACCACACATGGGACCTCACTTGTCAGTGCATATGGGGACATGATATGGGAACAGCCAGCAATTGTCAGATTCTTCAGGACTGAGGTAACCTCGCCTCCAAGCCAGCCACCAGCATGCCCCTGGTGGGAAAGCAGAAGCACTGGCCAGCCAACTTGTGACTCCTTCATCTTCTATAGGCAGTGAACTCTGCAGTGAACTCTGTTGCCTGGTCTTCTTAGGCACACAGAACTGAACTGGAACCCCCAAAGGAGTAAAAGAAATAAGGGTGCTGTCCCTGCCAACTTCACAGTGATACTTTTTGCTTGTCTAACTTGCAACTGTGACTTTGGAGGAAGCACACCCCTCTGGTCTTAAAACGCAACTGTCAGGTAAACCCATCTCCACCCAAGCTCACTCTGTATTTCTGTGGCAAAGCCCCTCCAACCACACTGTTCTCTGTGCCCAAA